GGCAGTGTCCGAATCACATCTCACAAAAAGTGGGTGCGCTCAGTTCCGCCGAGCTTTAACTTGTTCTCGTAGTCCATTCAAATACATTGCAGGTGATTTTGTTCCTCCGAAGGTAGCAACACAATCCTTGCTTGCCGTCCGTGGCAAAGAGAGGGGGGTAGGGTTTTTGACCAGTGTGCCCGGTCGCAGTCTCATGCACAGTTGGCCTCATGAAGTGACCAGCCAACAAAGATGCCACGTTGCGGGGTTCCAGATGGGTAAACACTGGATTCAAGGGGGGGCTTTTTACGGAAATGCTTTCCATAGCACAGGGGTTCCGACTAGAGAAGCCAACAACCACCTGCTTTCCCACATCGTCGATCGCATCGGAACCAAAGCACATGGCCCCCGGTTTATAGGAGGCGACTTCAACCACTTCCATGACGATCTGGCAACAATGCAAACCCTCACACATGAGGGCTGGGAAGAAGTTCAACATTATGCACATAGAAGCTTCGGCCAAGAAATTCGGCCCACCATTCAGCAGAAACACACGAAGGACTTGTTGTTTCTTAGCCCGGAGCTATTGACACGAGTTCAATCTGTTCATGTTGAGGAGGATTGGGTTGCCAACCACGCCATTGTCTTTGTGTTGTTGAAACCGGATGCACCTGTGATCCAAGTTCCCGTTTGGAAAAAGCCCAGCCAAGTTTCGTGGGCTGAGATAGACAGTGAGGGTACTAGTGACTAATGTTTGCAGCCAAATGTGCTCACCCCTCCCACACTCAAAGGGATGGACGCCAACTCCAAATACCAGGCAGTTTGGCAATCCTTCGAAACTCAGATGGTGACTAGGGCCCGCCAAACAGGGCACAATCTCCATAGGTCCCAACTGGGTAGGGGAGCCACCATGTCCCGCACTTGGGTTACTGAACAGTTCGTCCCACTGCGACCGACGCGGCCAGGAGGGTTCCAGCCAACATATCATGGACAAAATAGAAGTCATGTACACTGGATCAAGCAACTTCGACGCCGCCAAGCATATGCACAAATGCATCATATGAACCACTGCCCCACCAGTCACTGGCTAGAGCATAAGTTAGGACAGTGGCGAGCAATCTCACGGGCACCCGGCTTCTCGCCGAATTTCGGCCAATGGTGGACGACCACAGCTAAGCATGTCTTGGGACTGCCAGTCTGCTTTCCGACATGTCCGCCGGACGGCGAACTTGCGCGGTTGTTGGCCATTGACTTCCAGCAGGATGTGCAAAGCTTTGAGCAAACCTTGTTGACGGCCCGCATCCGGTCAGCGAAGCAGACTCGACTTGATAATCCCAATAAGATTTTCCAAGACCTTCGTACCAATCATGCCGAACCCGTCCAAATGTTGCTCGCCCATAGCACAGCCATGGTCACCGACGTGGACCTTGAGGAATGCTCCATCACACTCGATTCAGCTAATGCTTTTCGACCTGAGCAGGCCATTGAACACAATGGTCAACCCCTCCCCTTAGTCCATTATGACAGTGATAAGATATGGCTAGCCAGTGCACCCAATGCACAAGTAGGCGATACGCTTGTCCAAACCACACCAGTCACTGATCTCGAAGAGATCTATCGAGCGTTCCACGCTGAATGGCGTGCCCGGTGGGATAGACATGCCAACACCCCTGATGAACAATGGGACCCCATTGTTCAATTTGTTGCTGCAGCCATACCGAATCCACCCTCTATGCCGTATCGACCGGTTGATTTCGACATGTGGCAACACGCAGTTCGCAAGAAGAAAGCGAAAGCAGCCATTGGTCCAGACGGAGTGTCCAAAACAGACCTGCTTGCCCTCCCAAAGAGTCACGTAGAGCCCATCTTAGACCTCCTGTCAAGTATCGAGCAGGGGACTTTGCATTGGCCCCAACAGGTCGTCACCGGACATGTCCATGCACTTGAGAAGATTCCCGATGCCTGGAAGGCCAGCCAATACCGACCGCTGACAGTTTTCTCCATCGTATACAGGACCTGGTCGTCGATCCGGGCCAGAGAAACCCTGGCTTACTTGAGCCAATTCGTGCCAGACCAAGTCCATGGTAATGTCCCTGGGAAGTCATGCACTGACCTGTGGCTGGGGGTCCAATTGATGCTTGAAGATTCGGTCAGCGATCAATCCTCGCTAGTAGGAGTAGTTGCAGATTTGGTCAAGGCATACAACTTGCTCCCACGGATGCCACTCCTAGCAATTGGGGTACACCTTGGCCTTCCCAGGCCCATCGTTCGAGCATGGGCCCAGGCCCTCCACCAGATGGAAAGAGCGTTTAGTGTCCGGGGCACCATAGGCCCACCAATCCGATCGTCCACGGGGTTCGCCGAGGGCTGCGGATTGAGCTGCAGTGCAATGCTTATCTGTAACATTGCCTTGTCTAGATGGCTGTACTTTCGGTGCCCGTCGGTCCGCCTTTGGTCCTATGTTGATAACCTCGAACTTACTGCAAGCACCATGGCCGATGCCCAACAAGGTCTGGACTTGATGACACAATTTTGTGCCCTCCTTGATCTGCAGCTTGATGACGCCAAAACATATTTTTGGGCCAATCAGGCTGAGGAGAGAAGCCAAGCCCGCCAGGCTGATCACCCTCTTCAATCTTCGTGCAGAGATCTTGGAGCCCACATGGAGTACGGGAGAAGAACCACTAATCATGTCCTTCAAGACCGTTTAGGTAAAATGCCACAGGTGTGGGCAGCCCTGGCTCGTTCCACAGCACCGTACCGACAAAAGGTGCATGCAATTCGCATGAAAGGCTGGCCGCAAGCCTTGAGCGCAGGGACCTCGGCCGGATTAGGAGAAGCGCATATTCGCGCCTTACGCACGGGAGCTTGTCGTGGCCTTCGCATTCATGCCCCAGGTCTCAGCCCTATGGTACATTTGTCTTTGGTAGAGCACCCGCTGACAGATCCAGGATGCCATTTACTGGTCCACACAGTGTTCACTTTCCGGCGCCACGCCGACCATGACAAGGTTAACATTATCATCGACCATGTCTTGAAGGATTGGCAAGAGCTCCCCCGGAGACCAGGACCGTGTCATGTCCTGCTGGATAGGCTCCATTCAATAGGTTGGCAATGGATCGGACATGGATGGGTCCTTGATCACGTGGACCAACCCCTTGACCTACTCCAGGGCGCCCCTGCTGAGGTTTGCCAACGCCTTTGTGACGGATGGCAATTGCATGTCCAACAATGTGCCGCCCGCAGAAAGTCATTCCAAGGGATCGAATGGGCTAGTGCCCATTTTACACTTGAGAAAAGCTCTTCGTTAAGTGCGACTAGACTTGGCCTCCTCCGCATCGCCTTGAATGGTACCTTTTTCACGGCTGATACACAGAAGCATAATGCCAAGGCACACACCACTACATGTAAATTCTGTGGCGCCTCCGATTCGCAGTTCCACCGTTTCTGGGAATGCCCGGTTTTCGAGGCACACCGGCCTTACCCATGGCTGACAGAGCAGGTACGGGCAGGAGGTTTGCCGAAATGCCTCACATATCACGGATGGATAGGTCTGCCACAGTCGGTTCGTGAACTGCGCACCCTTTTGCTCAACCAACCTGACATGACCTTCCACTTTGACTGGCCACCTTTTCGGCCGATTGATGTGTTTGTCGACGGTACATGCTGCAGACCTACGTGCAGGTATACAAGGGTTGCAGGTTGGTGCCTCGTTGCAGCTGACCCCGAAGACACTGATCAGTGGTGGCCCATTGCCCAAGGCATTGTCCCAGGCTGGAAACAAACCAGCGGCCGAGCTGAAATACTCGCGGCAACCAGTGCCATTCGTTTTGCAATTGCACAAGGAAGCCCAGTCAGGCTTTGGAGTGATAATGCACAAGTTGTCGATAACCTCTCGAAAAGTCTGTGCTCACCCGGGGAACACTCCACGCCGCAACAGGATCAAGACCTGTGGGCACCGCTGTCGGCATTAGCACGTATTGCCACTCCTGATCTCGTGCAGGTCCATAAAGTGGCCAGCCACCAATGCCTTGATCACGCCACTTGGTTAGAACGCTGGATATTCACCGGCAACAACAATGCCGATCATGGTGCCCATCATAGCACCATGCATCCAAATAACGTGTTCCATAAGTGGAAACAAGCGGTTGCTGATCTGGAGGCAGCAGCCTTGCTCCGGGATCAAATCCACATGACCATCATCCAGGTCAGTGAAGCGGCCGTGACACGCACCAAAGATGAACAACCACCGCCGGATGCACCCCAGAACCCGCCTTTGCCCTTGACAGAAGTGACTTTAGGCCTCCTGCCAGACCGACCGCAGACTGCTACAGATAAGTTTGTAGGCCAAGGGTGGGAAATGGTTGCCGAGTGGTCCAGAACTTTCCAAAGTGCACAAGCTCCGGTCGTTCACATCCCGTGGCTGTATGTGCTCATTGATTTTGTTTTGACCACCAACAGTGGAGGTGTCAAGCCCAAGCGTAAGTACACGGACTGGGAATGGTTGTCCCAAACGGCTGCTAGACAATTTGCTATCCAAGAGAGAGTGCGCTGGCTTCGCATCTTCCTCATTCGAATACACAAACTCGAACAGGTCAAGCTCACCACGCATTACGTTCGCCCCACGACCCGGGTGACGACTTTTTGGGCCCACTGCCTAAGTGTCAAGATGACTCCCCACCGCTTGCAACGTGTGGAGGAGAAGATCCAGCAGCACAAGGCTGCTCTCACCAACGGTACAGATCTCGAAGCAATCGTGCTTTAGGGATTTTCCAGGGATCAAGGCATCCCCCGCGAAAGCTGCGGAGCCTGAGCCAATCGGAAAATCGGAAAATTGGAGGCCATCGCTACTAGTAACAAGAAACTGCTATATAGCTACATAGTAACCCTGGTAACACCCCCCCAAAAAAGAAAGAACGAACACCCTTCGCCTCCCCCTCTTAGGGCCTGGCGCCCCCGTGAGGGCTGCCCGTGCTGCTCGAACCGAAGACTCCACGGTCCGACGTACCCGCCCAAGGTTCAGGAAGTCGGACCATGCCACTTCAGAGACCTCGATCGACCAGGCCATCGAGGTTGGAGTGGATTCTAGTGGAATGGATTGGGTTGTGGAAAGAAAGTCATGGATCCGAGAGAGGCAGAGAAACACCAGGTGTCAAAACGAACATCCAAGAACCGGGGTGTGTGGGTTCGCGTTTTGAAGGGGTGATCTAGGGAATTATGTCCGCATGCGAAATGGATTTATAGATCACAGAAAACTTTCAACAAATAATGTGGAATCAGGGAGCTGAAGCCTCCACACACCTCTAAGTCATGGGAAAGTCTGTGCTTGCATGAGCAGCATGATGGTGGAACATGGTGGCACCTTTGTGGAAGACATATATCCCGTGATTCGAACCTGTGCCAAGAAGCTGGCGGAGAGACGAGCAAACGTGTCATTGAGATCTGCGGGACGCCCACGACAACCATATACACAAAGGGCGACAGAACGAATCCTGCCAGAACTCATCAAAAGCACCAAGCTGACAACATGACAACCGGTGAAACGTCTCAATCGCCAACAAGACTTATAATATCTTATAAGATCTTATACGTATATTGATGGTATGCCCAACATCCAGCCGCCCCAAAACAAACAATTTGTATCAATTTGTAAGATCTGTCCAGCACTGCCACACCTCCTATGATGGGTCCGCACTGGTTGTCCGTCAGTCCTGCCAGGAGAAACGCCTCAGAGACTTTTGCAATGGCCGCTTCTCACCATGATCCTCCCCAGTAGGGCCAACTAAAATATTGTTGAAATGGCCCCCGTAGGCAACAAAAAAGACATTGACAAGGCCAAGACATTTGCACTCCTTGTCCATATCTGACTTTGAGCAATTCAGGACCCCACCAAGTTGGCTGCCTGGCCGCCAACCTACCTAGTTGGGAGTATGGTGCATAATGAGCACATGACATCTTGGTGTCATCGGAGGCAAAATAGTGAGACTACGCCAAGAATACAACAAACAGCAGAAATGAAGGTGTGCATCCCAAACAAACCAACTGTTGTTCTTCAATGTTTTTCATCGAGCATGCTGGTGTCCTTGAATTACGAATCAGCTTTACAAAGAAACGTGCACACTATTGCACACTATTTCTTTGCATCTCATCTCTTGTCCGCTTAATCATGGCACCAGCACCAGGGCGACCGCATGCTAACACATGGAGCGGCTTGCGTTTGAACAAGATTGGGAGTGGAGTTCGCACAGCATCCCTCAAACAAAAAATCCATCCATTTGGCTTCGGCATGGGACCACCACGCTTCGCCAAGGGGAGGGGTCTGGGCACGCTTGCTGTGCACAGGTAATGGATGAGTCCTCTAAAGTCCACCCGGAAGCAGTGAAACATAGTGAAACATAGTGAAACCAAGGCACAACCCAGCCCACGATGCTCAAACCAGCAAAGTTAAGGCCGCCCATGAGAAGCCTCGTTCCGGCTTCGCCCGAACAAGTCTTGAGGAAAAGGAGTGCGCATGCCATAATATACCAACTGAGCCGCACGATACTGAAACCAAAAGAAAAGGAACAAATGTTATCCAAAGGCTGCAGAAAACTCTTCCAATTGGGAATCCAGTTTCTTGCTACATCCAGCTTTCCGCGTCTCATCGTTTCAGCACACCACGCTAGACATGAACAAACCCAAGCGATCCGCGTCATCCGGATCAAGGGGCGTCACCGCCGCAACGAAGATTTGCCCAGAGATCCCTCCAGACATGTTTGGCCACAGCTGAACCAAGTACTGACGGAAGAGCACGGGATACAACGCCGCATCCGCGACCTGACCCCGGAAACTCCGTCCTTGAGACGAGTCAACGTCGCGGCTGAGGGTGGCACAAGGGCAAAAAGGGATTGTGACTGATGACGGAAAGCGCTGTAGCGCTTGGAAGTATTACCGAAAGGGAAGGGGGGGGGGGGGGGGGGGGGCCAAGCTGATTTGCAGACCGTGCGGGCTTTTTTAGGCATGTTCAAAGGTCCATAAAACATTGTAATTTACAGTAAAAAATGGCTTTGGATGGGTTTGTGTTGAGCTTATTTACCTTCAAAAAGTTGCATTTTACCTGCACGGGAGGCAATTTTTGAGGTTTATCTTGTTATCTCGCATTCGAAGGCTTTGAAGTGCAATGTGCATAAAACACTGTAAAAACCATGAAAAAATGAGGTCCCATAAGTGTAAGGAAGGTGTTTTTGAGAGCTTATTTTTATCGTTTGTTTGCGTATGAAAGCTTGCTCCTGACGAGCACACCCATGATGTCAATACTGCAGTCTTCCCCAGGGAACATAACCAGCATCGCAAAGGTTTGGACAAGTGCAAGAAATGTGTTTGTGAGAGCTTTATTGCTTATGAAAGCTTGCTCCAGTTGGTGGTCAAATTTAGGGCAGGTTTGTGCAAATCTTCGGCGATCTTCAGGCATTCCTGGGGCATATCCTTCTCCATCTTGGCGCGTTTCGCCCAATGTTGAGGCTCTCTTTGAGCCTTCTCGTGGATTTATGTTGGAAGTGATTGGGGCCGTGGGGTCTAGATCAGGGCTATGTTGAAGGCTTTGCTGCTGTTATGTCACTTGTTTTGCAGACATGCTGGTCCACTTGGCTGTTTTTTTCTTTGCCGATTGACTTGGGCAGGTGGTCTTTTGCGTAGTGCGTGTAAAACACAAAAACACGTGAAAAATGAGGTCCGACAAGTGTAAGAAAGGGCTTGACAGTTTTCTTTGTCGTTTTTGTTGCTTTGTCTTATGAGAGCTTGCTCCAGTGGGTGGTCAAATTCGGGGCACGTTTGTGCCAATCTTCGGCGATCTTGGTGCATTCTTGGGACATATCCTTTTCCATAT